AATTGTTAACCAATAATGTGCCTTCGTAATTTATTTTTCTTTTTTTACTATGGACAGGAAAAAGAATGAAAATATGGTCTATGCTTACAATTTTATTAATAAACATAAATTTATTATTATATTAGAATACGTTTCATGTAATGCTTCATGTCATGTAATTTTAAGCTGCAAAAAGACCGTGATCAAAGCATTTTTAAAAGATTTTTCGGCATTCGACACTGAATTGTGAAGTTTTTGGGCAATAAGCTAGGATCTTTGACGTAGGTCTATAACAAGTTTGTTCCTATCATTATAACTACTGCAGGAACACGTTTCATTTGTTTAACCGTAGCTACGCATATAAGAATCAGTACTCTTGACAAATTTAAACTCATACTAAAGCATATTAAATTGTCTTCCAAAAAGCATATTTATTTTTTGGGACAGATGATAGCCAGCATAAAAGTGTTCTTGTAATAAATTCGAAAACAGTCGCTGGAAACTGTATTTCGCCGTTGATGAAAAAAAAATCCGTCTGCTTCAAACGCCCGGCGGCCAAATTACCAATTAAAAATTATTCGGCAAAAACCGAACGACTGACACGAGAATAATCAAAAACCGCAAAATCATTCGCAAACGAGTTGTCTTAAGCATTGATTAATGTCTTACTTAGCTCTATCGATGGAAATTATATACTTTTTTAAGCCCGCGTCTGAAATCCCGAAGAGCCTTGCGTGACGTGAAAATCCGAAAAAAATATGATCTGCGCCATACACATTTCGAAATATTAAACGTAATTCGCAGAAAAAAAATGCTCGGGCAATTTGACGGCAAAGGAATCTGAACGTAGTAAAATGTTTACTTAGATGTAATGCGATAAACAGAAAATTAATTGTAAAACCAAAATTTTCCTTTTAAATAAGAAATTATCATATTCGGGATTATTAGAAGTACAACTTCAACCTTAAACATCCTATGCATCGTATTTCCAGTAATAAATGAAAAAAATTCCCATTAATATCTACAAGCTTAACTAACAAATGAATATAACTTACGATTAACATTTAGAAATAGACAAAGATCCTCCACGAAATGAGGGTTCAAGAGTTTTTTTTTTAAAGAAACTTCCTCGAGCCGTAGAAGTTGTAGGTAGACTTCTCCTCAGACATCTCTTGAAGTTAAATTTTAATTAATCGAAAATCAGCCTTAAACTTAGGTCTTTCCGTGTATAGAAAACCGATTCATATCATATATCATTTATATTATCACATCACGATCCAGTTCAAAAATCTTTTCATCAATTCTCTCTCAAACAATTTCCCGTATTAGAGGCTTGCTAAAATAATTTCCTCCTATGCCTGTCAAAATAATTTAAAATTAAATTGAAATAAGTGTGTAGTTATGGCATTTACACAAAAAAAAATGAATTCAATTTCAATTCAAAATTTCGGTTTCGAAATAATTGGCGCTTCGAAGCCCATGTTGTCGTGCTCTATGATTCCTATGTAAAAACAATCATTTTAAACTTAAAAAATATTTTAATTCTTAGCTCTATCGTTATTAAATTATCCCAATGTAGTAAATTGCCTTTGCTTTGACGTCTGTACTAAGAATCGGTTACAAAAGCTTTTGAATGCTTTTAGGTTTATTTCCAGGCTTATAAAATATGACAGAGTGCCCCAAAAAATGAACTCCAATATCGTTATCATCTGTTTTATAGTAAATTATTTCTTATTTCGTCGTACGTAGAAATCACCGCGATCTACGGAACTTTTTCTATTCCTGTTTATCTATTAACCTTGTTTCGCCGTGGCTTATCTAAATCTAATCTTTAGGAGCTTTTCTAGAGAGACCAAACTCAAATTAATAAAATTCTAAAGGTAATCTCTAGAACGTCAACCTATCTTGTTGCTAAAATTCCCGTTTTATTTTTTTTGCCAATTTCTATATATACACGATGTCAAAAATTAAGGGGCCGATTTTTTTGTCAATTTTAAAAAGAAAATTTCATATGAACATATGTCCTATACGTCTTAACTTTTTAAATACTGCGTTACTTACTTTTCTTAAAATAAAAATTATCCTTAATAAATTTAATTTCTTGATTTTTTTCAATGCGATGTACAGTTTTCGCTTAGAAACATTAAAACCATTTCTCTGTATGATCAATACAATATCAATAATATGACAGCCTGCATATTTTTAAGTGAAAACCGTGAGATGGATTAAAAAAAAACAGATCAAGTCTGCTCATAAATGAATGCAAATGTCTTTTTTTTTCAAGAAAATCAGTGGAGTGCCATTATAAACAAATAATGTATATATTTTAATTAATTAATTCATTCATTAATTGAGAATTTTTCTTTGTCAAAAATAAAATATCTATCTAAAATAAACTATCTGAATTTTAGTTATCAATTAGTGTCATTCAAAAAAAAAAATTGAAGACTGCTCTTTTTACTTTTACAATTTTATTGAAATAACATAACATCCTAATGATTCCTATATAGCTCTTTTTCTCGTATCTTTTTGATGTATAAATCCATTGTCCCTTATTAAATCTCAGGAAGCTCTTCTACAGATAGAAAATTGCTTAAGTAAGAAATAATAATGCTTACTACTACTATTAATAATTTTTAACAAAAATGTCTATTAATAAATTAATAACAACTTTTTTCAAAAAAGTAGAACATTGAAACTGGATAAGTATATCGGATTGAAACAAAATCAAAAAATTAAATTTAAGATTGCAAGAATAATTGTCCTTGTCTTGTCTACCAAAATAGACATATGAAATTCCTTATGTCCGCCACTAGTGTATTTTTTTTTAAACTGCGGGATATTAAATATTAAAAATAGATTTTATTTTTGAAAACATCATATATAGTTATGTGTGAGTAGTCGTAAAGCTTTAAATAAAAAAAAAAATATATTAAGACAATTTATAATAATTCGATCCCATTAGCCGATAACCTGCGAATGCGGTTACAAATCAAAATCACTTAAAAACCGATATAGAAATTTGGGAAACGTCCTGACCAAATCCGGTCGGTTTTCCGAGCATAAAATTCCTATCGATTAAAATCCAATTCCGTAATCCCTTCTCGAATATTAAAAGTTCGTTACTTATCACGGTAGCCGCGATTAAACTACTATATAGTTCCTTAAAAACACTTCCTAAACCAGTAACGAAAAGGCCTCTAAGAAAAAATAAATGTTTGACTATCGATTAATATTTAGTGCTGGCTTGAAGTATTGCTCGTTGAAAATATTTTATGGGTCTTTTATTGGGAAATTGTACCCAGCAAAGAGCGTATCAAAATAAAACTGGCCTGGTGGAAAAGTGAGGCGAATTTTTCAATATAAAAAGACCGCGAATGGACAACGTAAAGAATATATCGCCAAATTCATATAAATTGCAATCCGATCCTATAAATTCCCTATTTAACTTTTCAGACCTACAATTCCTAAAATAGGATGACATTAATTTGTATACGATAGAAAATAATGTGACCGCGTCTTTACACAGATGGTGTATTAATTAGAATTAATAAATTTAATAATAACTATACATTATTAAAATGATAGAGATGGAGAGATTATTGATATATTAATTATTCAAACTCAAGTTACAGTCCAATAAGGATTCTCAACTTTCCCACATTAAGAAACGGAGCATAGTAATGGGGATTCCTGTCCTTGTCTTGCTCATTTATATAAATGGGAATGGAGTGTTTTCGCCATTTAATACTGTTCGTGGATATAATTCCCAGTGAAATCATTTACATATTACCATAACCAAACGATATTTAATTTTAAATACTTAAAATAAATAAAATTTCCTATAGAGGAGGGTGAGACAAGACGGGTCCCCTGGGACAAGGAGGCCCACCTCAAAAAAAATTCTTTTTATAATTATTTTGTAAATTTTTAGCCCTCTGCGTAATACCAGGGGTAAAATGGACCGCTTAAAAATTCTAAAAATAAGCTATTTTTGTTTATTAAATACTTTTTAATAAATACTTATAATTATTAAATATAACATTGGGGGCACAACGGCCAGAAGCCTCGCCGAATTTTCGGTAAATTTAGTCAAAGTTAGCCAAAAATAAATCGACTTGATGGTTAAAAGCAACAAAAAATAATAAAAAGCTCAAATGGACAGTCTTGTCCCACCCTCCCCTAATCCAACTATTTACAAAACTCCGAAATTGCTTAGAAATTTAATTAATTAATTAAATTATTAATTATAATAATTATAATATATATAATTATAATAATTAAAAACATATGGTAAAGTATTGTGTACATTCGGAAAGCCCTTAGCGAATGCAATACAATGACGTAAAATTATACAGGCTGTCCCATTTAACGATACTATATTTAAGTGATCATTCAAAAAAATAAAAAAAAACTGAAAAAACTAGCTACTCCAATGGACTGGATACGAGAAGTGCCGCAAATGGCAAAATTTTCCAAGCACAAAAGCTTCAGTAGAGGATGATCCGTTGCTTTACACAATAGAGAAAGAGAGGGAGAGTGAGAGAGACACAGCTGTTGGACAACCGCCATTTTTAAATGCGGGACACAACAACCAAGAAGTTCATGATTTCGGAACTTTGACCTCATATATTTACCAAAAAGCAAAGTACGAACCTGCCCGAAATGAACTATAGGCAGTTGATATAATAAGTAATAAGTAAGATCATTTAAAATAAAAACAAAATAAGCTTTTAGTTTTTTAAACTGGTAAAATTCAAAAACGCGTCAGTGCAAATCAACCAACATCCGACACCAAAGGTAACAGCACCGTTAGTCAGCAGGATTTTTCAATCCTGCCGCGTCTGCTATGCACCCGAAAAGCGCTCTGCGTGGGTCTGAGATTGAAGAGGAGGGGATACGAGATCCGCCGGCCATTGGCCGTGCGAGCAATTAATCTAAGACAACTTTGCTATTATTTTGGTTCGATGTTTCTATATATATATAGGCCGGGTGGCGATACCGAAAGTTTAATTGTTTAATGTATCGTTTGCGAAGCGTACCGTAAGCGGAAAGCTTCCACCACACGCATACCACAAGTTCGATCGTCTCTTAGCGCGTTCTTGTTGTGTTGATACCGGCGAACGAGTACTACCGGCGGTTTTGCAATCGACGCTTGTTTTTAGTGGTTGTTGTTTATTTACCGGTTACGGAGGTTGCCAAAGGCCGTCTTTTCACAGGTACGTGGAAGCTGTACTCTTGACATTGGCTCTCAGCTTTTTTTTTTCTAACGGAGAGAGACAATTTTTTGTTCTAAACTTTAAGTATAGAAAAATAAATTCGCGTAAATCTAAAAAGCAATATTGGAAGTAATTCAAATTCAATGCAATATTCAGATATTCTTTTGAAAAATATACATTGGAAATAAATATAAGATAAATTGGGGGCTTTCAAGAGCCTTGCTATTTCGATATTTTACGTTTGGATTTACTATCGGTGCAACAAACACAAAGTTGGCTAAAACTTCAGATAATTCTTAAAGTGTAATATATATTTTTTTATTCAATTGTGTTTAGGTTAAATATATTTTTGTTCCAAATTACTAACTTAAAGCTTTGGTGTTTCAACTTAATTTCAATTTTTTTTCGAATAGCATTTTGTTGATTTTTTTTTAAATCGTGTACTTTTACCATGTACACCATTTAGCAACTTGGGAAAACAATTGTATTTTGGTGGAGTAACTAATAAATGAATTTAAGTGAGCACAGTGTAGACATATATAAAAGCTTCTACATTTATTTGTTACCAAAAAATGTTAGAGAAAATGAATTTGTAGCAACTAACTTTAATTTTTAAAAAGGATTGACAAACATTTTGAGATTTATTTTTTACCACAAAATAGCGATTTTTTTGAATTAGTGCGATAATCAAAATTCCTCCCCTTTAAGGCAAAACTAACCAAAACTTAAAAAAATATATTTAACTTTTATTTGACACTCATTTAAAACATTTTCTCAAAAATTAGACTTATAATTTTATTTATAAAAAATTATAATATGAATATGCTTACATTTACATTTCATTTCATTCTTCAAAAAAATTAATTTCCTAGAAAAAAAAATCGGGTAAAAAAAACTCAAACAACAAACAAAACTTTAAAAAAATTATTTAATTTTAATTGATTCAAATATTTTCTCAAAAATTAGACTTAACATATGCTTTTATTTATACAAAGCTATCATGTTTATAATTATAAAATATATTTCCTTGTTGACATATTCTCAAAAATTAGACTTAACGTCCAATTTTAATTATAAAAAGTTATATATGGACTAAGCGCTGAGATAAAAGGTGTTTATTAAATTTAATGTTAAATAAAGTAGCTTATTTAATTCCGGGAAAATGGCCGGCGATTTGTCGAACTCGTTTGTAAGAATAATAAAAGTGGAAAACGTTTATCATCTTTTTGTCGAGAAGTTTCTAATCTATAATGAACGACTTCCAATATTAACCAGTCACCTTGAACAATTAGGACACCTGACAAGATGATACCAATTTTGGAGTTCGGACGTTGTTTTAAATATGATTAAATTTGAACTACTTCCGATGCCAAGTTGAAGGCGCGTTTCAATACCAATTTAATTAATTTTAATTAAATAAAGCGATAGTATTTTTCCGTAGGACCCAGACGGGAGCTCAAAGTCTCGATTATTAAGTGCAATGAAGGGGAATCGTTTAAATTAAATAATAACAACTAACGTCGTTAGCATTTACGTAAAAAAAAAAAGATTCCTTTCAATGAATTCGCAAAATTAATGGATTCATTGATTCAAATCGACGCGTAAAATTTATAAATAAACGTAATTAGCTACGTCACAGCATTTTAATAAATAAGGAAGACAGGTCGAAGCAGATATGCGATTTCTTTGCAGTTTCTTGGAAATTATCAGTCGGTTCGAGCGAAAATGAAAGATTTCTACAATATATGGAATAGGTTATTCGGAAAAACTTACGACGCGGTCCAAACGGGCGACTACGGCAGAGATGCGGAAAACACGCAGGATGAGACCTGGAGATCCAGGAGGAACGAGTACAGGAAACGTGAGTTGACTGCGACGGTGGTAGTGGAGGTGGTCGGTGCTTCTAAATAAAGATAAAAATGATACAATTCTGTAATTATCAATGTATAAAACAGTAAGAGTATGTCAAATTATAGTCCTAATTTTTAAAAAATCCTGAGACAAAATTAAAAAAACTTCCATTTTATTGGGCAATTAAAAATAGATAAACAATATAAAGTAAATATAAGTTTGTCGATTAAATTAATCATAATAAATAAATCATTCGGTTTCAAAGCTGCTAATAAAAAGTCAAATTTTTTTTCTAATTGAGTTTTTTTGAAAGATCTTCACTGACAAGGTGAGGCAAACATTTAAATAATTGCTATTATCGTGGACCATAAATCGGTTATTTAAATTCAAATCATGCCATCCTGGGCGGTCGGGACAGTTACCACTTAGTGTGTTAAATTTTCGTAATGGCCAAGCTAAGAATATTTTTAACACTAGCAGGTGGCGGTCGTTATTTAAAACCGTGTTTAACTGTTAAATTATCGATGGGATTATACGCACGATTTGGCCGGTCATATTTCGTACGAAATGGATAGAAAAATCCCGACTATATGTGTGAATCACTACTTAAATTTTTGTCAAGTCATTCATCGAATTGGCATTGTAATTTTAGAGAATTTTAAAAAATATTTATGATTCGATAAAAATACCTACACAAACTTGTATTTTATTAATCCGATTTTTTGCAAAAAAATGTTCGCGTAAAAACTTGAAATTGGTAAAAGCAAACATTGAAGTAATTTATTTTAATAATTGTTTAATCTTGAAGTCTCTTTAATTAATTTATATAAACGTTTTTGTTTTCAATCGTTTAATATTTTAATATTTTTGTGTTGCGTTTAAAAATCACAAATCTTGCAATATAATTTAATTAATTAAACGTTTGCATGAAATTTTTGCGAATTATGTCTGAAGAAACATTATCTAGGCTGTTGCCGTGTTGCTTTGAGTCCAATGTATTTTTAACTGACATTTTTTAGGGCAAAAATTTTCTTGATTATTTCGGTGGAATTTGGTTTTTAAAGGTTTTAAAGTTTTTTAAATTTTCATACAGTAAGCTATAGATTTTAATATTTGTTAGTGTTAAATCGATAAGCTTTATGCGCAATTGTTTTTACCACGCAAAATAACAACTTGTGGGTGTACAAGTTTCTTTGAAGTGCTGAATAAAATCCTCTATTACTAATTTCTATGCAATTTGGTTAAATATCATGGTCTATAAGTTTCTTGATTACATTTTCAATACCTAGTTTTTTAAACAAATGGCCCATTGGCATTTTTTATAATCATATATTTGGAAGGCGAAACTTTCATCTGCAATTACTAGATTTGCGATAAACGAATGAGCGTTCTGTCTATAGTAGGTTCTATAGTTACTAGTAGTACTAGTACTAGTTACTAGTACTAGTAGTACTAGTAACATTTTTTCTAGAAAGTTATATTCAGATTTTTAAAAGTCATCAACTTTATTTTGTTATATTCAGATTTTTAAAAGTCATCAACTTTATTTACATTTTTCATAGAGGTTGGACCTATAAATTTACGAAAACAAACGCTTTGCGTGGATCCACGCTCACAAATTCGGGTAAAAATTGCTGGAAATTTTATCTGCTCCATTTCTTATAATTTACATTTACATAAATTGCATCACAGGGCTTTTGATCGACAAAGAGCATTTTTATGTCACTAAGAGAAAATTTAAAAAGAAAAAGCCTACATTTTAGATCTGTATAAAACGCCGGTATAGTCCAAAAATTCTATGGAAACACTGCAACATCCTTGACCGTATCCTTTTACGGTGAAAACTCGAGTTGCCCGGGGCGATGTAATACAGGGTGTTATTGGCCAATTAGACGCAATATAATAACACGTTGCCGTAAATTACGAGAAATGAGAAAAAATCATCCCAGGTTCACCTCTAAAACGTACATTTAAATACTGCCCCAGACGGAATCCGAGAAGAATGCAGACTCCGTAACCTTCGCTCATATTTCGCGAGCTGGATTATTATAGCCACCTATTCGAAGCGACATATTTCAGGAAATTTTATTATTATTATTTCCCCGATATCGGGCTGGTCCTTGCACAAAACCGCGTGACGAAAAAAAAAACATGAATGGAGTTTACCTTTGCGGTCAACTCGTCGAAAAATCCGATTTGCCCCCGCGTTCACTAATTAGCTTAATTGCCGAAAAAAGGCGAGATTAAATCAGCCGATAGTGGTTCTCACATATCGGTAATTGTTTTCGGGCCGGCCACATGACTTCCCGGATCTAACGCCACGCGACTTTCTTCGTTTGAACATCCCAAAAGTCACGTTGCCGCCCAAACATTTCGCGCATTTCCCAAAAGGTTATTTAAATTAAAATGATTTATTACTTATCTATCGGAAGAAAGGTAGGCCAACTAATATTGCTAAAGGGAAATAATTTGTGTTCTCTACAATTGGTATCGTTAAATCCTAACGAATTATTTTCAATTGTCAAATCGGATATGGATGAAATCGTTGGAAATTCGAAAGCTATTTTTGGGAATCAAAAGCTACCGGGAATCGCTTAACTGATCGTTATTCCACTCCGCGTCCGGATGACTAACCAAAATCCGTACAATAACATTGTTTAATTTTTTAATTGATATACGGCTTTGCCTTTCAATTGCCGTTTATTTTTAGAACCTATGAGCTTCTATATAGGCTTTAAATCACCTAGACTATCCATATGTGCAAAAATAACGACCCAAACATTAGTTAGGTTAGTTTGAACCTTTGAAATTGGTTTTACGATATTTAGGAAATTAAAATGGTTTCATCAATTTACTTATTTATTTCAAAAACTAAATTTTGCACAGTGGTTATATAAATTTTTTTATTTTTTTATTTAAATATTGGCTTTTTCCTACTATTTAAATTAAATATTACATTTTTATTACAAAACAATGATTAATCAAAACATAAATGACAACATTTTATACTATTCGTCTAAAAAATCTAGCACTGCCATAGGAAAACATTTTTTTTTTTAATTTTATTTTCGAGTGTAATTTAGTCCAAATATTTTTTTTTTACCATAGCAGCTTCTTCTGTCCGATGGGTAATATGGCAGTTTCTTTTACATCAGCTCCATATATGGGTTTTAATTGCCTTAAGTAGAGTTTATCACCTCTTTCTTTTTAAGCTTTATTTTGCAATGCCTCAGTGACTTCTTAATTAAAAAAGACTATCAAAAACAACACCCTATTATTTTTCGAATAAAAAGTCAAGGCATGTATATACTTGACACTATGAAAATCTTGTATTACTAATGTCAAAACTTTTCTGAACATACCTTGTTTTTGCAAATGTTAAACAAGTGGCGTTTGCCAAACAGCAAATTTGATTATTTTGCTTTTTTTTTAATTGATAGGGTCACATAGTTTTAGAGTAATTAATATTTTGTAATATTGGTCATCCAATGATTGTACAAACAGAAATCTATTATTGACTATTGACGAATTTTTATTAATTTATTATCAATTTAATATAATTAAAAACATATATTTAATCACAAAACAGGTAAAACATTTCCAGGTTCTTAGAAAACTACAAGGTTCTTGCCTAACTTTGTAGTTTTTATTTATATTAAATAAGTTCAACCCTATTTACTTTTTCTAAAACTTTGGCTAGAATTAACTAACGTTTCGTCAAACATCCTGTTGGCTTCTTCAGAGCTTGACTGAGACTTGCTCGCCGTACCTGCTCTTATATTGTTTGAGGGGGGCGAAGCTAAACGAGGGGCGGATGACTGATTCCCATATTCGATGTCCCTCATTCGAGTCAACAAAAACCGACGCAGGAGGAATCCAGAAGTTTTAGCCTGTGGAAGTTTCTTTGAAAAATCTACCCTATATGCAGAGTTAAAAAAGGGATATTAATTTTAATTTAGACTTTGCCAACATATCCCTTATCTTATAACGCATCATATTTTTTATTTCTACAGAAGCAAAATTTCCAAAAATTACATTCCAAAATTTCCTTAAATTACTTAATATTACCACTAATGACAACTGATTACAATTTTGGGCATAAGCTTAGTTGTTCTTTCGCTTTGTTTTTTGTGTTAAATGCTTGAGCAAAAAATGACTGTACGTTTGCAGCCTGTACAGCTTTCAGCGTAACGAGAGAAACTCCTGTGTCGTCTTTCTTGCCTACCGAAAGATGTTTTTTAATTTCACTTTTCCTGTACTCCATTTTTCTTCTTTTTTTTTAGTTGAAGTCCAAATTCAAATATTGAAATTTTGTTATAGGGCATTGAAGAAGAGATAATATATTTCATAATTTTTTATTTATTTCTTATTAACCCACTGAAAATGGAGAGCTCCGAACAAATAGACGTAACGAAATGGTATTCATTCGTTACGACCAGGGCACCTTTACGATTATCTGAGCCGGTCATCTTTCGCACAGCATAAAACGCAAAAACAAAAACAAAAACAAACGACAAACGCATCGAGTTCGTTGGCAGAACATCGTTTGGGGTTTTTCCATTCGTTAAGAAGCGATCCGACGGGCACCTACGGTTATTTCTGGGTAGATCTGGGTACCCTCGCCAGTCAAAAGCGACACGTCAATTTTTATATTCCGCGTGGATTTTGCCTTGCGAAAAGAAACAAAGACCCGGTGACCCTTTAAATAATATGCGCACGCGGAAATTGCTTTTCCGAAAACGCGTGATATATATTTGCGATGCGATTTTATGTTAGATACGTGAGGATTTTAAGAATACGATAGCTGACTCGATAGACAATAGATGCGGCAAATAGTCGGGTTGCAGGGAACCACAGAGTACAAAGGTACATTGGTGTCGTTTTCAATCTGCTTAAAGACATTTCGAGGATAATTTCCCGAAATTGTGTTTTTGCAATGAAAAGTTTTAGGATAAGGTGTCGGATAATAATAACAATTAAATTCTTATTAAGTATGGAGGATGGCAAGGGATACGAAAACATTTGAACAATTTATTGTTAATGATCTGAAATTATGACCAATGTTACTATTTATTTATCTTATTTCACTTACCGAGCCTATCCTAAATACCTCGAACTCGAAAAACGGGCTCTTAATCTATAAATTGGTATTTGTAGCATTTTTCTTCATTTCCTTCGATGAAAATAAAAGAAAATAAAATTTAAAAAAATAGTACTTTTTTTGTTTTATTTTTTTTTTTAATATAGTGGTTTTGGGGAAAAACAAAAATTCCTTTATTAAGCTAGAACAAAAATACGAAAACTCGAAAAAAAAGAAAGGAATCACCAGATCTAGCATGCAATAAAATAACAACCAGCATAAAAATACAAAAAACATACTGGTAAACGTGAAAAAATCCAAAAGAAAATAAATATAAATAAAACATAATACAAAAAAAACAAATTTGGGAAAAACATGGAATGATAATTATTATGAAAAAAACAACTTTTAATAAACAAAACTAAACAATAAGATAAAAACACAATTAAATGGTCAAAAACATAGAAAAAAAAAGAAAAATTAAAACCTAGAATATCTTACGTCCAAAATTATATTATAATATATTATTAGAACGAAATAAACTCACTAAAGTGTAATGCATTTTTCAGTTTATTTCTCCTTGTTTTAAATTGTAACAATTAGTGCTTTTTCGCGTCATGTTACTGCTTTACTTTTTTTTTAATATAGTGGTTTTGGGGCAACACAAAAATTCCTTGATGAACCTAGAATAAAAATACAAAAACTCGAATAAAAGAAAGAAATGACGAGATCTAGCATGCAATAAACGTGAAAAAATCCAAAAGAGAATAAATATCAATAAAACATAATTAAAAAAAGCAGATTTGGTCAAGGAAATAGAAAAAAAATTAAATCCTAGAATATCTTACATAAAAAATTATATTATAATATAATATAAGAACGAAATAAATTCAATAAAGTGTAATACATTTTTTCAGTTAATTTTTCCTTGTTTTCAATTGTACCAATAAGTACTTTTTTCCTTTACGATACCGCGTTACTTTTTTTTTTAATATAGAGGTTTCGAGGCAACACAAAAAATCCTTTATTAACGTAGAACGAAAATACGCAAAATCGAATAAATGAAGGAAATGATGAGATCCGGCATGCAATAAAACAACAACCAGGATAAAAATCTAAAAAATATACAGGTAAACGTGAAAAAAACACAAGAGAGAATAAATATAAATAAGACATAATACACAAAAAAAAGATTTGGGAAAAACATAGAAAGATAATTATTATGAAAAAATAACATTATGATAACATTAGGAAAAACAAAACAAAACCTATTCTTGATCTGTATCTGTATCTATATAAGCTTCTGCTCGATTTGGTTGAAATTTCCCTTATCCCTTCTTTAAATCCCTGTATGTATGTATGTATTTTTTATTGCAGGTGCGTTTACTTATACGTTTCTTGGAATCGGCGCCTTATTGTCCGGGATTTTTATAATGGTGGTTGACCCCTACAACCTTCTTTACGAGTGGGTGAGTTTTCATTACCTAAATTAAGTCAGCCGCCATATTAACGAACATTCGTTTGCTTTTAGAAATTGGTATTCGGCAAGGGGGGCGAGATTTACTCGTTGTGGGAAAACCCGCCGGTGGCGCTCTACTTAAAAGTATACCTTTGGAATATCACCAACAAGGAGGAGTATATGAGCGGCAAAGATAAAAAGCTCAAGTTCCAGGAGATCGGGCCTTACGTCTATAGGTAAGTGCCTGGCCGTACGTTTAAGAGAAACTGTTCATATTTACACTTTAGACGTGAACTTTTACTTTGGCATACTTTAGATCGCCTGACTAATTTTTTTATGGGACGCTTGCTCCAGTTAGGCCGTAATTCTAATTTTCGCGGTACCCGATTGGTCGCTTACGTAACACCGGCGCTAGTTCGCATACCGGACCAAAAATTATATACGAATGCGATATCAAATGCGCTTTCAATTGCATTTTCATACACCAAGTGGACGATAAACTCGAGCTCTACGCACATTAGCGCTCAGTGAAAAAAACTTTACGAAATATAGACGAAAACTGAAGTCGGCATCTAGAACTGAATTTTCATAAAAAAAAAGCAATAATAAAGAGGACACATGGATATCTAGTGGCGTTTCAGAGTTATTTTGTGTTTCAATGAAATAATCCCCAAAATATCTTTTTAATATAATATAATAGTTTAAAAGTTATCAACAGAACAAGTACATATCATTTGGAACACCCTATATATTTTTAGATTGTTGAAAATATCTGAAAAGTTCCTTTCGAAAAACAATGCGGCCATAACACAGAAAAAAAATATGTACTGAAAGTTCTGACTAATTAAACTTGCCAATTTGGAATTGCAGTTTCTCGTTAAAAGTGTCGAATTTGGACCGGCCTGTATAAAGTCCTTTTAGGTTAACTGAATTTAACTGAATTATTCTGAAACGTATCGACGTTGCAAAACTAAAATTTTCATATTTTTATATTTTTTGAAAAGTTCCTTTTGAAAAATAACACGGCCATAACACAGGAAACAAATTATTTTGAAACGTATATTGACGTTTTAAATTTTTTATATTTTTTGAATAATATTGATTTGATGATGTTAGACCAAGTCAGAAAGCTCTAAAGAGTTTCACTTTGAAGAAAGAGAAGATTGGTGTGATAGTTTTTGCAATTTTTAACACACCTTGTTTTCTTAACGATTTTTTTGCTAAACGCTTAGGCAATCGAGCATTTTATATTAAGCAAAATCGTTCGCCCTCTTACTTTAAACTAACCAAAACTAAATTAGTCAAAATAAAGATAAATTTGATTTATTTTCTCATTTTTCTAATACTCCCAAAACTAAGCAAAACCATGATCGCGAGTGCTTTTTCTGTATCTTTAAAATCGCTGAAGATTTTTTTCTGCAATTTAGATGCGTTGTTTTCCTCTCTAGACTTTAAATTTCAAACCAAATTTCAGTACGAAATCTTTCATTTTTTCTATTTTTTAAACTCTAGAAACGAGCATCAGACTTTACATATTAAAGCTTGGACACCCCGTAAAATAAAACGAATTTTTAACGAGTATTATATCGGTACGGTGATCGACAATCTCAAAACCGGAAATTTCCTCGCTCCGTCGAAAGTTCTAGAACGAAAACGATTGCTTACCGCTTGGACATAGTTAACGACTCGTTTTGTGAAATGAACTTGATCTTTAAAATGAATTCGCGGTCACATACGTTGAGTGAGTCACTTTGCGGGGTCAATTTCGGTCGAATCCATCCGAAATATTGATTTTTAATTACAATATTTAATAATTGCTATTAGTTATGTAATCGCCAAGTGAGTAGGTATTGTGACGGTGAGGCCAGACAGATATGTACATTTGAACTACTCCATGTGTGAGATATATATCTCAATATACCACCATACATCTCTCTTATAACTCTATATACCTCTACTATATAATATAATTCCAATTTCATTATAACTAACGTATATAGAGGTATACGAAGATATAGTTAGACCAGAAATATAGTGCTTGTCAACCGACCCCGTGATTAACTTTGCCTACTCTTTACTACACCAAAACCGCATCCCCTTATAGAACACCTTGCCGAGCAGACACTCATCCGTAACCTTTCCAGGACCGTCCTAGGAATTTATTTACCTACACTAACAAGCGCGATATAAGTAGGTTTTCAATGTTTGTCGACGAGCAATTCTTGAAACATGCACATAACATATAACATACACACTATTTTCTTCTTTTATTAGTCGTTTTCCTTAACACTTGACGTTTACTAATTGTTTGGAACTGAAAATGCATTTTCTGCAAAAAAGTATGCAACGACTATTTGGCACAATTAATGTTTAAGTCTGTCGGTACTTTTTTGTGCAGTTCTTCTAGGGTAAGTGTCGTAGATTATACGCCCAATTAGATCTGCGTGTTGCTCTTTAAAAACTCCCGAAGTAACAGCATCTTCTCTCACTTTCCTCTTGACTGTCCCATTTGCGACAATTTTTCTTACAGTTGACTTCGGGACTTTGGTTATGCCACTTGTTTTTATTGCTGCTCCTACTTCTTCTGAATTTCTTATAGAAAAAACATTTTATTTGCTGAGGTAGTTCGTCTTCTAAATTGTCATTAGGTTAGCCTACCATCGCCACTTCGTCTTCAAATTCTTCAAATTCCATGTCCTCTTCTAACAGGAGAACATCTGCTTCATTTCACGGTCTCCACATTTTAAAGTGTTAAAAAACAGGAACTTTCAAAAAATGTTTATTTGTAAGATTCTAATAAATATTTATTACATTTATCGACGGCGAATATAATCTATAGTCTTCAAATACCTTCGTAATATATATACGAACATATTACAATTTAGATTAAATTCTTAAGAACGAGAAATATCACCTGATGTTAAAATAAACTTATTCGAAAATACCATGCAGCAAATTTAAAACGGTCCATCAAATAAAAATTTCAAGTTTCTACAAATATTCGTTACGGTCCATCTCAGGCAAGACCTGCTTAATGCAGAATAAACATCTGTTGAGATGGATTTTGCCACGGTCCTGCGAAGGACTGCGATTAAGGTATTGTAAACTACTTAAAACGTCAAAGCAATAAATGCACTATATTTTTGGTCGTATTATATAGAAGAGATATTTCGAGCTATAGGAGAGATTTTGGAGGGTATAATGGGATATATGGAAGATATATCAGATATATGGATTAGTTTAAATCAACAATAAAAACAAATTTGCAAATAAATATTTCTTTCTTGTACTTTAATGAACTTATTAACAAGGTATTATATTGATATTAAAAGGCCGTATTTTAATCACTTCATTTTAAAATGACTGACATCTCAACGCAGTGCCTAATGTAATAACATAAAATTCAGTTTGGTAATTATTTATTGTTTTGTTAAGGATTCCCTTCAGCTATTACGCAATAGGGAAGAAGACATTGTAATTACAACTAAGAAACTCTCGCCACAAATTAAAAAAAAAACTATAAAATAATATACAAACGAGATCGCAAAATCGAAACGACTCAAGGTGATTGGGTAACATAATTCGTACGCAGAATAATCTAGAATGAATGAAAATCGCCCGTAATTAGCAGTTAAGTATACATGGCGAGAGATAACAATCTCACCAGCGAATATTATTATCTTGGCGAGCGGATCGTTGGCAATTTTATTTTATTTCAGGGAGTTAATGACCCACGAGAATGTCACTTTCAACGACAACGGCACCCTCACCACCAACCCGAGTCACCCCCTAGTTTGGGTACCCGAACTCTCCGAAGGAAGACGTGAGGATGACCTCCTCATACTCCCCAATATCGCGCTATTAGTAAGTCTCGAATCCACAGCAATTACCTATTTAGAAAATAGCAAAATATTGGTTTATTTTGGTTAATTGGGCGTCTTACAAACATATGTCAATCAAAGCACCAAACAAGGCGCTTGGAAAATTTTAAAATTTCAAAGTGCGTCTAAAAGTCGGTTCTTTGTATTACGGCATCCTCGTGACGTTAGACGGTTATTAGTTCAAAATTCAAACAATTGAGAACCGAACGGCGAGAATAATGACTGAAAAAAAATTAATAACGTCTCGGCCGAGTTTTATAATTATTATATACGCGTTACGTCACGATATTTTATATAACCTCAATTCCATAGTCGAAAAATATGTACGACGAAGATGCGGTTACCTAAGCGACGACAGAAAAACCGTAATAGAAAAATCGGATTGGAGAAATTTCCCGGTTCCAAAACGCTAGTTGCCAGAGTTACCTAAAAAGACCCGATTATGAATACATTTAGAATTTCCAATAGCGACCTTGAATATTTTTTTTATTTCTTTAATATATTAATTTATGTATAGAAATAACGCATACCAAATATCAAAAACTCAAAACGGAATATTTAACTTGCAATAAATAATTTCAGTTAGGACACGCGGCTATTCCTTTTAAACGACATTAAGCGCGCGGGAATGCTCGTGACGTCATACCGCTGCTTTTCGATCGATACAGGTTATGGCCCGAGAATTATATTATTTACGTTTATTTTTGGCTGGTGTATTACAGTCTCCACAGGAATAAAGAACAATTTAAGTTATCGATGCCAATATAAATCAGTATTTATGTTTCCACTAGTTTAAAAAAATAATTTTTGTTTTTCTTTTTTTTTTGAATAATTTACATTTTTTTTTTAAATACCATTTGAATTTTAAACACTAGAAAACTTTAAGCTGATTACAGTATTATATTGGTTTAAAAGTACTGCCTAAATTGTCTGTGAACATAACTTATAACTTTAACACCAGGAACCTCGGCAAAAGAAAAATTTTCGGTGTTTTGTATGTAAAATGTCACCATAAATATATCCACTAAAGGTAAATTATCAGATTGACCTTTTAAAAAATCGACTTCGGCCTTTTTGAAAACTTTATTTTTGATAGTAAACACAAGATAACAAAAGCAAACTGTGAACTGTAATTCTTTTAATAGTATAAATTTACTTTTATAAGCAATATTTTATCAAAATATAAAATTCTTCTCAGAATTAATCAGTATTTTGCGCAATCGCGGCTCAAACTGGCACGACATGAATCGAGTCTTGACTTGAGAATCAATTTCGAGTCCTCCCTAAACCAATCTGGCAACGTGACGAAAAAACGACGTCTGCGGTATCTATATGTATATATGGCCTGCTAGATTCCGAGCACTTTTACTTTCGTTCTGACGTAATTCGATCTAATTCTGCTGTGACCAGATCGGGGAATACTGCCGACCGAGCAATGAAAACGCCCAAAAATCGCGGATTACCGGGCCGCTGAAAAATAGCCCGATGTGGTGATTAGTTATCGATAATGACAATAATGATATTCGCCAAATTAACATACTATTCCGCTGCTCGATAAGCGAGATCCGGGTGTGGACGAATTATGTGTTTTCGCGATTTAAATTTCGAGGACGCGCAAAATATTAAAATTAATTTGAATGTTGTTATCTGAACCTGTCAAAGATTAAGCCGTGCGAAAATGCGCAAAAAAAAGCAACGAGCTTTTTTGCCAAAACTTTGAGTATGAACATTAAAAATTATTTTTGTCCCATGTCAGCTGAGGACAAAAATGAGAAAAAAAATTGTTAGACGTTTCGTTTAATTGCATTTTAAAGTACTTCAGTGCGTTATTAACGAATTATGGAAATTTCGATATATAATGAAAAAAATATTTGATTGATTGAATATTACTATTTCTAATATAACCTCCATACAAATGCTTCAAGTTTCAAATTAAATAGCCTAAATACAAGAAACTAAACAAAATTTTATTTTAAAATTTCAATTGTGATCAAAATTATAGTTCGAACTTGACACATACCCACAATATTAGCATTTTACAAACATAGAAAATGTATACAATCATAGCAATGAAACATAACATAGAATAACAACAAGAGCATGATATGCTGTCAAGAGTATATCACAATCTACAGTTCCCTTTAGGCTACGTATTAGAAAAATGTTTTTTGAGATTTTTTAGCCACTTGGTGTGTGAGGTGATACCAATTTAGTATAATGAATGAAATGAATTCCCAAGAGTTTTGCACTTCAGCAAGTGCTTCAGTAAGATTTTTTTATTTAATAAGAAAACCAAAAAATCACTTACATAAAATACAATGAAAAATTTGAATGGAATTCTCCGTTGTATACACCGCTCTCCAGAAACGAGCTTTAACTTGGGATTTCCTTATTATGAACCACCTATAGTTTAATATTTATCAGCGCTAGCTAAACACTTGTACCGCTTACCGCCCGTCCCAAATTTTAGCAAAATTAGCATTCAATGCGGCAAAGCCGCGAGAAATATTTCCCAACGCGCTTAAAATTCAAATGACACATCTCCCGATCGCTGCTCGTATGACCATTAGATTCGCGCCAGCGCACTTGACCCGATTCTTTCGTCAATTACTGCGCCACATTCTGGTCCTTCGAGCCGGATTTTCTAATCGCGCGCTTTATTTTCAGAGCATAGCCGACGTCGCGTCCAAGAAGGGCCTGTTCACGCGGTTGGGTCTCAACGTCGTCATCAGGCAAACCAAGTCGGAACCGCTAGTCAAAATGACCGCCAGGGAGTTTATGTTCGGTTATAAAAGCACCCTCATGACCCTGGGAAACACGTTCATGAATTCGTGGATTTACTTCGACAAACTCGGCCTTATAGATAGGGTAAGCAGCTTTTTTTTATTGGCGAAAGCATTTCAAACACAACGTAAAACAAAAAGCGGCGCACAAACAGCCCGGGTCGTTTGTTATTTCGAAAAAGGTCCGCGTTGACGTCACGGAAACATCCGAACCGCCGCGGGCGCCTCGATCTAAAAGAACAAGTTTGCGAATCGGCATGTAAAATTTATGACCACCGATTTAATGAACCGTTTTCAATTTTTTGTTCGTTTCAGATGTACGAATTCAGCGGCGATTACGAAACGTTTTACACCGGTCAGAAAGACGGAATCAAAAATATCGGCCTTCTGGACAAGTACAACGGACAAATTAGGATCCCGCAGTGGGAGAGTCCCTGCGGTGACGTCACGGGAGCCTCCGACGGCACCAAGTTCCCCGGTAACATTCAGCCGGACGAGAAGTTGCTATTTTTCCGGAAGAGCATGTGCAGAGCTAAAGAACTGGTACGTAAATATTGTGGCGCAGTCGTAGGATGGTTGCACGGCATGGTTCTTGCTCTTCTAGGTCAGAGTCAACGAAACCGTTGTCGATGGTCTTCGAGCTTACGTGTACCACTTCGCGAACGATACCGACGATAATGGCCGATTGCGGCCGAAGAACCGGTGCTTCTGCAAAGAAAGCGACATCGACAAATGCCTGCCGAATGGTCTGTTAGACGTCAGGGGGTGCTACTACGGTTTTCCCATAGCTCTCAGCTACCCTCACTTCTTGGACGGCGACAAGTCGCTGATGGCCAAGGTGGAGAGCGGGTTAAATCCGGACCCCGAGAAACACAAGTCGTACTTCGTCATACAGCCGGTAAGTTGTCCGTATCTGGTGTCGTTTGACGCGCCGTGACTATTTCTTGCCGCCGCAGGATTCCGGGTTGCCAATTAATTTGGCCGTGAGATACCAGATCAATATGGCGCTGGGAAACTTGGAGAACATCGCCAATTCGGAGAAATTCACCGACATGATCTTGCCGCTTTTGTGGACCGAGAACGTAAGTGAATTTGGTCCTTCGAGTCGGATTTTTTTAATCTGTGGCCCAACTTAATTTAGACGTTTTTTATTCTCAGGGGATGTACGGACTGCCACCGAGCCTCTCCCTGCGCTTCAAGCTCTACATCAGCATCCTGCCGGTCGTCCAGTCTTGCCTAAAATACGCTTCGTTCCTCGGCAGCGTGGTGCTGTTGGTGTGCGCGGTCCGAAAGTTCGTTCTGTCGAAAAGGGGAACGGACGCCGGAAGATCGCCTTGGATCGAGGACTCCTTCGTCACGAACATAGAGAGGAAACTGTCCGGTTACATCCCGGAAAAACGGGACAGCATGAGCGCGAGGGAGCTTAAAGTGTACGTCGAAAAATTGATGGTGCCGCTCAACCAGAAGATCATCACGCGCGATGACGAGTAAACGAAAAGCCGGACATTTTCATTTGTTGTGATTTTAATTGTTATTATTTATTGTAATCGGTTTTATAACGTTCCGGAAGTCATCGCGTGATACTAGGCGTCGTTCGACTTTTTTAGGTTAGGTTCGGATTCGACCAGTGACTTTTAGTACCGGGCCATAATAATTACTTTTAATTCCGATGAATTTTTGACACGTTTTAGTGGCAACTGTTCACCACGCTCATTTTTTATTTATGTAAGCAGGGGTATAATTTTAAACAAAATGTTTGTGATACTACATGTGTAAATATGCGCGCCTTCAAGTTTTTAGTTCCTTTGGTTTGTATTTTTGTATGCTTTTACCGAATCACGTGATTAAGACATGTTAATTATATCGTGCTGCCTAATTGGGCTAAATTTTGTCAAACATACATCAATGCTTACTATTTTAGCCTTCCGAAATGGACGTTCGGGTCAGTAGGTATAATTTTAATATTTATTTAGCGCAATCGCTCAGCACCTCATATTTTACCTACGGGTAGCATCATTATTTGAACGGATCTCAAATATGCTTTGGGTGAGATTAAACGTATTGGGTTAGCTAGAAAGAGGCCGATTGCGATTTATTTGTAAGCCATTAATTTAATAAAATGTTTAAAAAGAAAAGATTCGTTTCCTTTCCTGGTAACAGCGTAATATCGCAAAAGCACTCACCAACATTTGGATAATCCCAAAAACGTCGCACAAAACCAACACCAAAAGTAATTTATTCATTCAACACCGAACTAGTGAACAACAAACGATTACCAATTAAACAACAAAACATTGAAAATTTCTCAGGCCTGTTTAAAAAGAACACGCAAAAAATTGAATTGCTTAATAAAACTTAAACGCGGAAAGAGATCAGAGCGCGCCATCTACCGATATTGAATGGAGTGGCAGCAACGGTATAGTTATCTTTAGAAGTGACGCTTGCTGCAGGACAGCAAGGGAACGACAGACAAGTAATAAAACTACACCTAGTAAATATTCCTACCAAAACTTATATTAGCTAGGTTGGTTTTCTAAGAGTTTTGTGAATGTTCTAAAGGATAAGTGTCGTTCGGCCATGCTGTTTTAGTAGTTCACACTGGTGGGAAATTCAAAATTTCTCGACTAATGTTGGCAATGGGCGAATATCCTGACAAAATGGCCAATTTGAAAAGAAGAAGAAAAAGAATAGGTTGTGAATTTAATTTTATATACGATTTTTTAACAAAATGATTGGTGAATACGAGTGGTGTATACAGAGTTTGTTTTGTTAAATTCCCAGCAAAATTGAATACTTGCAAAAGATCAAATAATATGTGGTTATTGAATGATGCTTTATTCAAAAACAAGTGTACACAAAATATAACCTATAAACAACTAAAATTGTGTGACTGGAACAACTTAACAATAATAAATAAAACGATAAAAAATATAAGATAACAATCTGGATCTTGCTATGATTCGATACAATATTACAAAAATAGTTACGTACTAAGTAGAGCGCGATAAGTACTTTTGAACTTCAACGTCATACATTAAGATGATATCACATAACAACTGATAATCCGCTAAGGGTGCCTCTCGAGTGCTACCTGCCGAAAATATTTTTTTCCAATTCTTCGATCACCTGCAGCAATTTCTGCCTCGTTTTTTTGTTATTCTGACATGTGCAACAGACTAAACCAAATAAATGCTTCGATGAGTATTCCTAAAACCAATTTAGCTTAGCATCGCTCATGGGAAAAGAAAATAAAGACGTACTCTATGCTCCCGAATCCACTTTTCCAACTCGCTTTCTGGGAGATAAAAAGCTTTAACATAATTCTCCACATATTCTTTGTGCGGAACAGGTCTCAGGGATGAAATTTTCTCAAATTTTGAGAGAAACTGAGTGAAATCGAGCTGCATCAGTGCTCTACCTCCGTTAGAACATTTTTTGGCATCCGAAAACCTAATTAATGCATCATTAATGGAAAAACTTGCAACTGCGCACTTATATTACCCTTGAACTAAAGTGTGGGTTACAATGTGGGCTATACTTTCCCACAAGACTTTTAATACTTCGTTGGTTATCGGCACTTTATGCATGACCATTTCCAACCTCGCTCTAAACATTTGCACTTCCTGGAGAGTCATAAATTAACACGCGAAATAAATCAACTTTGAAACTTACTTGAACAATTAAGTCAATATAAGAATTGTGCTGAGACATAACCTCCTTCACTTCCCAATTTATCTTGGACATAAACAAAAGAATTTGGCGCAAATCGAAGGCTTGCGCCACCACGGCCATGTATACCGGCTTCCTTAAATGTGTAACACAGGCTATATTCTGAAATATATTATATTTTCTTAGTCATAATTAGCTTAGAAACGCTTTACATTTGTAGGATTCATGACGTACCAAAAAAAATTTATAAAAATATTCAAAATTTTAACCTGCATTAAATAAAACTAGGGTTAGACCACATTTGAAGCACTAAAGTGACCATTCAAGATACTACTAATCAAAGAGAAAATGTGGGAGAACCTAACCTCAAAATAATATTGTGTCCAAAACATTCCCACAAAATGGAAAAAAGTGACGAAATCAAAGTGGGAGACTTTGTTATAGTGCAACGGCAGGAATATACGAAACTGCACAAAGTAAAACAACATGGCAATATGGTTTTGGGTAAATATACCGTGGAAATGGACAATATTATAGGGCACAAGTACTTTGATACATTTCAAATGAAAAACCACCCAAAAAATAGAAAACTCTTTATATTGGAGCAAAAAAACGAAGTCACTACCGCAAGTACTGGTGTGAACATTGAAAAATCCGGCGTAGACAACAGAAACATAACATTGGATGGGGAAATACAGACATTAAAGAAAGAAGACATAGATAAGTTAACAGACGCTGAATTGAACTCAAATGTGATTGTCGAACAACTCATAAACAATTCCAAAACGTTTAATATGAAAACTGGGTATAGTCAGGAGAAGTACATAAAGAAAAAAGAGAAGAAATACTTTGAATATATACAAGTTCTTAAGCCAACGATAAGGCTGCTGGCAAATATGTTCTACAGACAGGATCCCACGAAAATACTAAACATACGAATAGATGATTTGTCCCAAATATTATCTTATGCAAACATCCACAGTGAAGGGTGTCATTTATTATATGATAGTGGCAGTAGCGGATTAATGATGGCCACCATAACAAACTCTTTAGGCAAAAATACCGGCGGGACCGTTATTCACATGCATCCTGGAAATGAGTGCCAAAAAACTGTTTTCGCGGCACTCCAGTTTCCGCAAGAGCAGAAAGACAGATGCATAAATGTCAACTTGTATTCAGTTCTAAGATATTTCTATCAAAATAAAGAACATGCTGAGTCTACTAATTTAGATGAACCAAATCTAGAAGAATGCCTAGAACCACCTCAGAAAAAACTGAAGACAAGTGAAAGCGACACTGTGACGACAATTGGGCAGTCTCAGTGCAAACGACCCCAGTGGCAACTTGACAATGAGCAAGCTGCCAAACTTCTTGAGAAAAAATGTGACTCTCTGATAATTACAGCTAAAGAGCATCCTGTTGGTCTAGCTAAGGAGCTATTAGAGTTTTTGAAAGGAGGCAGACAGTTTGTGGTATTTAGTTTGTTTAGAGAACCTTTGCAGGATCTCTATGTGTATTTGAAGAGCCGTTTGGACATTGTAGCGATTCGATTGTGCAGTAATTTCTTGAGGCACCACCAGGTGTTGCCAGAAAGAACCCACCCCGCGATTATGATGACCAACGGGGGCTATATTCTGACCGGGGTGAAGCTGAACTCTTGATGGGCGGTATTTTAATTTTTATATTATTAAAAAACCACATGTGAATAGAAATATGTAAAATAACTTTCAGAAAGTGATGGAATAAACTGATACTGTTAACGAAAGCTCGATTAAAATTCTAATTTAATACAGTAAAATCCTCATTGCAGTTACAGTAATGATGAGTTTTGGATTGAAGAAACACTACAATGCTATTGGTTAGATTTTTACTTACTTGCGCAAAAAATTGATCCAAGATGGCTTTCTTTGATGGCAGTATAAGATACTCCAAGTATTCCCGCAAAAACTCATACTGCTTGGCGAGAAAGACTAAGCTTTCAACACCCACAAGCCTTTCGGACAGCCCGTGGAGCTTCTCTGGGTTTTTCAGATCTAGCATTAACGATGGGGAGGGTTTTGTCGCTTTCCCCTCGGGTACGGGCGTGTTTTGATCTGCTACATATTCGAATATTAAACTATCGCTTATACTTTTTATTGTCGCGGATAGCTCTGGCGAGTACAAATTTCCACTAGCTACCGCCTAAAAATCAATCAAGTCTTTTTTGGAACCGTACAGTCATGACAAGCCTCACCAAATCCGAGGCGAAAAATAAATTAACCGAATACAGATAGTAATCGAAAAGCTGATTCATCGAACATATTATTTCGCACGCTATGGGCTTCAATAATCTCGACATTTGCAGATACTTCCCCATTTGCCTCAACACCGTCAATGAAGTGTTAGTCAACACTTGGAATTTATTGTCGGGTTTTTCTTTTTTGACGGGGCACTCGCTGAAAAAAAAAAGGTCTCCGACTCTATTGCAGAATTACGCTTAACTGCTGAGTTACCTTTCTTCGACATTGACATAGTCGTTGGATTTCTCGGACTCGTCATCGCTTTCTTCCGAGTAACAGCCCAAGCTCTCCCTTTCGACTTGCAAGATGTCCTCCTCTATGAAAGTCTCGTCCAGACCGGAATCGAATGGCGTCCCGTGATCGGCGTACCGGATAAAATAGTTGCCGATAATGCTGCTCCCGTCTTGTGAGTGAGTAGACGAGCACTCGGTGGAATTTGCTGAGTAAACTGGCACCGTTGGGCTCACTTGGGGATTCAGTTTGTACGATTTAAGGGCGGAACGCACCGATCTAAATTCCTGAACATTATTTATTTTTAATTAGTTCAATATTATCTTTAATAATAATAATAATATCTTTATTATCAATACAGTGATAACAAACATTAATAAGTAAAATTTTCCTCTAAATTATAAAAATAGATCTGCAGGAGAAAAAAAAATTAGTTTGGATTTAAAAATGTTTTTATTACTACTGCCTTCTAGCTCTGGGGAAAGTTTATTGTAGACTCTAATACAGGTGTTACTAAAATATTCTTTTGAAAATTCTAGTCTATTTTTTTTATAGAGAAACAGTTACGTGTATTATAGTTGTGAAAATTTCCATTTTTTTGTAAGATATTTTTGTTTTTATGCACCCATGGGCAGTATTTTAAACTCCCTGAAGAGAGGCCTGCACGAGTTATCCGGCGACACTCCAGCGGTCCACCTTAGGACTTTCTTCTGGGATATGAAAACAGATATTGCACTGAATTTCCCCAAAAGAGAATACCATAGAGTAATCTCGAATGGATGTGAGCATAGGAGAAATTTATTATGCATTTCCCATTCAAAACAGTTTTTTGAAAAAAGTAATTGGCAGTAATTGGCATCGAGTTCTAGTCCTAAAAATGTAGCGTGCTTTTTTATTCTAACGGCCGAGTGGACATTCACAGAAAACTTTTTTTTTTGTTTTGTGGGCATTTAAATCTCAGTACACTTGTTTTTTGTACAATCAAAAAGATAGTTGATTGAATTAAAGTACTCTGTTGGCGCAGCTAAACGTAAACGTTATTTAAATGTTTCCCTGCCCCTTTGACTAATGCAATGTACCTGCATAAGCGACAGTAAGGCAGTGGCTGCAAAGGTGCAGGGGTGCAAAGTTTCATCCCCCCACCTCAATAAACAACCTCGAAAATCCGTTTCGAGCCAAAAAGCCGGCTCAAAGTTAGAAGGATAAATTTTAAATGTTTACATCTCGCTTATTTATTATCGTGCAGAGGTGAAATTTTTACAGTACACAATTTGGTCCTTCCTCTATCGAACGGTACCGAAAAGTCGGTGGTACCATTTTGATGTCAGAAGCGATGTAAAATTTCAGAAAATATTTTTTTTGCGGTTTAACAGGGGAGGGGGGATTTTTTGGTATAGTTCGATAGAGCTCATTGACCTTTACCTTCGATAAAAATTTCAGGTGTCTGAGATGCACCTGATTATTTAAAAAAAATGGAAATACTGTTTCAGAAATGTGATTGATAGTTGCGCCATTTGTTTAGTGGAGGTGGAAGAACCAAATTATGGATTGGTTTGGTTGGATTGGTTGATGAGCTTTTAAATTTATTTTCAAGTTATGATTAGAACAAGCGACAGTTGGGTGATTCATGAGCTTGGAGTGGTGGAAGTAAAATATAGATAGAAAGATTGCTTTTTAATAAATTTTCAAATTGCCTCTTAAAGTTAATTTTTTTCCAGTGATGAAAGTATGATGCGGAAGCGGGAGTTTCCTAAAAGAGGAAGCAAAACGTGCAATGTTAATTGGATCTACTGCACAAATTGATAACTTAAAAAAAAATTAGTTAATATGTCATTTAAATATTTCTTGAATGACATTCAGAAATTTCATTGAATTGTAAAATCAACATACCTGCAACTGTAAAATGCTAAACATGGGCTTCACGGGACACACCTCCCACATTTCATTTTCCAAAAATATCCTCAACTCTTCCAGCCTTTGGGCGTGGTAATTTTTAAAATAATTTACGCTCTGCTTCCTTATAGATTCTTGCAAATCTTCCGATTTGCTCATGCAAAATTCCTCGCCGACCTGCATGAGCCTGTGGACGATTCTCAGCACTTGCACAAATTGATCAAACTTGTAGGATGCTAGGTCGGCATTCAATAACAATCCGGAGACTTTGCGCTGAACATCGTCCCAAATTTTTACAACGTTAATATCTAATTTGTGTCTGCTTGTATCTAATTCCACATCTGAAAATTGCAGTACGCGTAATTTTTATTTTTCCCAAATGATTCTCGAATCACCTATAGCTCCTTCGATGTGTCTGTCATTTTCTTGATCGTAATGCCATTTGATCAATTGGTGGTAACTTAACACTATTTTGAACAGTATCTTGCACAGATCAATTAAACATGATATAAAAAGGTCTTGCGTCACGGACTAAAATTATAAATTGTTCCAGGGTAATGATGTTTTCAAAACCTTTTTTCAAAAATGTATTTTTGTTTGTTTTTTTTTTCAGAAATACAAAAAAATAACCTTGCCATAATTTTCAGAAACCTGAAACCTGTATAGCAATGACAAAATAGAAATTTCTTCTTATTAAATGTGACAACAAAAACAACATCTAATCACTGTAAAAAAAAAAATGCACGCTCACCTGACATAATATTTTATACAAGTTTTTACCATCTGCCAAATCAAGCAACTCGGCTGATGGAACATAAGAATTTACAGTATTAAATGAAGAATCATATATAGCGGTAATATAATGAACATGAATATTATCAATCATTGAAACTTGAGATTTTTCTAGCAGATTGTATGCTGTCTGCAATTTGGTGTATCTGTCTTTATCAAAATTATAGCACATCTAAAATGTTTAGTATAAATCCATAAAGATCGAAGAAAGGTTTTAAGATGATACCTGTGCTAGAATTCTATCTAGTTGGGTATCTGTAAATTCCAGAGTTTCTTGAAGTTTATATGTTAGAGCAGCTACACAGCTAAAATGTCTGTACTGAACTGCTATTTTTTGACACCTTTTAAGTTCCAAAATAGCTCCACCATAATCTTCATCTGCAAGCATCTGCTGGCACCTCTTATCAAAGCTGTACTACAGTATTAAAGATAACTTATCAATAGAGCACTTACAAAAGTTTTAACTCACCAAATTTTTAATCATGTTCAAATTATTTAGTAGTATCTGAGCCAATTTCCTTTTTCTATAGTTTGCAAGAATGCCTAAACTGGAAGAAAACTGCTTTCCAGCAACACTCAAGTGTTTCCTAGTATCCCTACAGAGCTCCAAGGTATCTCCCACTTGTTCTAGAATTTCTCTGACCCTGTTAAACTCCTCACTACAAGATTGTTGATGTTCTAATATCAGCTGCAAGACTTTTTTGGATACAACTTGGTGTTGCTGCTTTAAATTATTAAAGTCCTGCTGGATTTGATCACATTCCAATGTTTCTGGTAGTTTCTATAATATCTAGGCTGCTTTAAATGGGAAATTAGATAGCTCACTATTACTCACAGAGAGTTCGAACCTACAGATGTCAAACGTCTCTGACATGGAAAAATAGGCAGCTTCAATGCTCTCCAAGATATCCTGGTCAGCAGGCCTGTCCGCATCCTGCACAGTCTTACTATTGATCGAAAGGGTGGGTACTTGTGAGAAGTGATAGTTAGAATCGTCAAATCCCATGGATGGAATTTTCAGTGGCTGAAACGCGATTAGATTAATTTTCCACAAAGGATTTTACAGAAGCTCTCACCTGTTTATTAATGAGACCGAGTATTTTTTGTTTAAATTCGTCCATTATGTTTGCTTTCGTCTTAAACACTTCAATTATCTCTTATATTAAGAAAACATCATTCCCCGATTAACTTTACTGTTATTTATTTACAAATGGATCAACTGTGTCATCATTGTCAAAGTTCACTTTTCTTTCCTTGACGTTTGTGGCAAGTGACAAGTGAAACACCATGGTTATAAAACAAATTCAAATTGGTGTAATTTTGTCATGTCGACGTGAAAAGCGCTTCCCAAATAAAATGTATTTTTAGTGAGGAAATTACCAATACAAATTGATTTTAAAAAATAAAGTTTGGTATTCCAACTTTACAAGAAGTTTTACAGAGTAAAATGTGTAATAGTTATACAATCACAAAACAAATTTAATTAAAACATTTTAAAACGGTTAAACAATACGTCACACAGGCGCGTCACAGATTAGCGAAACGCAAGTGCAAGTGGCAACTTTCCAAACTGTCAGATGTCAGCACCATCGGAACAAGTCAAATAAACTCGACTGAGTTTGCAAGGAAAATGGCCGACAGAAATCGATAAAAGTGAGTGTGTGTTTTCGTCGAATTTTCCCAGTTTTTTAGTGAAATAATTGCTAAAAAATTGGCAAACTCAAGACGAGGTTGTGCCCCAGTGTTTTTCGTTGCGTCCGAGCGTATGGTATGAGACAATTCGAAGCAATCCTTGAGCTGATTCACTTATTATGTAGACGTTCTTTTTAACTGTAGGTAAGTTTATAGACGGGGAAACTTAGGCGTTTTCCTTTATAAGTTTGCGTCAGACGGGAAAAAACCTTTCGTTAATATCCAGTATCACCTTGCGGGTGTTTGTTCGTTCGCGAGGTGTTAATTAGCGTGATTGACATGTTTAATTAGCATGTATACAATTCAGGAGAGCAGTGGTGGGGGTGGCAGTTAATTTGTCAAATTGTTTATGACCCTAATGACCATTTCATTAGGTGTTCCTTTTCTTTCCCTCTTCTCGGAGTTTTCGCGTCCTGTCGAACAATTGTTTTCGTTAATTTTACGGCCCGTGGTCTTTTTCCTTTATCCCGGATAACTTAACGATGTCCCTGCCGCGATTCGAGATTTTGTTTTTATGGCCGTTTTAAAGCCGAAACTTAAAATTAGACCGCTTTACAAATTAACTTAGAATCGCCTCGGGAATATGTAGACGATAAAAGCGTGTAATTTATGCACGAAAAATCAACAAGAGCGATGATTGTTTTATTGGCCGCGGATCGAGAGAGATTATTTACATAACAACGAAAAGGAGAACGACGATAATGCCGCGAAATATTTGTTTTCCTCGGCTTAAGGGGTGTTTATTGATTTGCGGGCTCCGATTTGAGGTTTATGTAAGAAACGTCGTAAATTGGGCTTTATGACCGGGTAGATAGGGCGACGATAAAATACTGTAGAGAGAAGCTTTCGGTTTTTCTTTTAAAGATTTGCCTTTCCACGCCTTTGTAATGAATTGGTTTTTATTGGGGCTAGTTTTTGAACGATTCATGATCAAGTTGGCGTTCTGATTATTATTTATTTGATTCCTCTTTGATTGAGTTGATATTAACATCGTAACCAGTTGCGAACACGGCCGTCGGTCAATTGATTTTAACATTGTTTACTAAAACTACGGTCGTCGTTGTTACGTCATCGAAAAAAAAAACCGGGGAAAGCCTCTTGAAGTGGGTTATTGTGTGTCGATTATAAGGGCACGGAAAGAGGGATGTTGTTACGCGTCCTCCTGGGCTTAATGTCGGTGCTGGGGTGATTATATCGGGTCTTTTTCGCCCCGGCTCGAATAAATTTGCGGGATTAACCCTGGCGGCGCGGAACAAAGGGATACGCTCCGATATTGACTCCCGGATCTTTAATTTTTAATCCCGACTTTTTTAATTTGAAAGTGCACCCGGGCAATTATTTTTGCTTGTACCTATGAACGTTTTCGAGGATTGTTGGCGAAGTTGTATTTAAAGCATGTATAAGTCTTGTCGAATCCGTATAGGTTACAATTTATCGTCGAATATTGGTTTAGTCTATCGCGTAAACGCGTTAGGTTTCTAGAACAAACTAATTTTAGGAAATAACTTTTAAAAATCGTGTCAATGATAAACAAACAAACATATTATGAATACTTTTGATAACGAATTGATTTTGTGTGATCGCTGAGGGAGCACCACAAATGGTCGAATATTCAAATGGCTAAAAATCCCGAACGGCGCTAGGTCCCGTTTCGGAAAGTCTCGGTGAGTCTCGTCTCGCAAGGGATCTTGATGTAGCAGAAGGTCAAATGGTATACTTTGTAATTTGACAGTCGATACTAGATCCGAATACGAATTAGGAAAAGGGTGCTCGTTTTAAAGATACACGACGTACATCGGTTGCTAAATCCCCACAGGACACATGAATTCCTATGCATCCGGTCAATTATTGTTTCCAAAAAAATATGGATTAAGTTTATCGAAGGGTGCTGCAACCCACATTCAAAAGAATATTTTTTATTAACCCGTGAGTATCTTTTCAATATTTTGTTGTCATTATCGCCCCCTATTTATTACAGCCACCGGCTAAGGTAAAAGTTGACGTCTATCAAATCAAAGTTATAAATATTTTATGAATGAAAATGTCGACCACAAAAATCATTTTTTAGCAAAATATGCAAAGTTTACAGCTGATGATGGGAATAAAACTGATTATAAGCTGACTGAATTCACTGTGCAATTTGTTCTAGCCAGTTGCGAGTGAGCCTTGGGATAACACACATTTATGGGCCCCTACCGCTAGCCTACTTACAGATAAGATGGGGCCATTTCCTATAGCCACATGAAAATCACATCAAAATGTATTTATGCTGATACAAAAATACTTTTTTCTACTCCCGTCTGTAAAATACCGAATTACGCGCCGATCTAGCGTGCGGGAGCGTCGCTTTACCACGTCAGTTTCGTTTCCCACGAATCCGAGTCACTTCGGACATTTCCGGGATTTTACCGCACAGGTTTAGAAGCAATCGGATGGTTTCGGAGATATTTCCCACGCTTTGAATTTTGACGTTTGTCAATTCTTACAGTCATGTCAGTGAATGTATTCGTGTTTTGCGAAAATGTACCCAAACACTAACGGTCCTAGAAAAAGTATAGTATGCAACACGTTCGGTAAACTTTTTAACTCACTCGTTTATTAAAAACTCGCGAGTCAAATGCAGTTTGCCGCACTTGTTGCATAATATACTATAAATTTACAGCATCTTGGACCTGACTTCTGGACTCGTGGCCCAGAAATGTCTCTAGTGGGTCCATCAAATCTTTTGTTGTTGAATTGCTGTAGCAGAAAATATTGATGTAAAACTGTTCAAATGGTTCAAATGAAACAAACATTTTAAGCACAAGCATTTTAATAATTATTCCCAAAACATAGTATTTACACCATATTTTTTTCCATCCACATTTCCTTGTATTTGACATACAATCCACAGGGCCTTGTCCAAGTAAAATCGTATGATAATATTTTTTATTTTTAGGACAAAAAGGACAAAAATTACGGGGTCGGTCCAACAAATTGGTTAATATCCTTTACACAAAAATGGCTCATGCCACGCTGTATAACCAAACTAATATCTAGGTCACTCGCTTGCTCCCAGAACTCTAGTCAAGTCTTTCAGTTTTACAGGTACATTTGATTGCCTTCACCTCTGCCTAGAGGTACATACTGAGTAGAAGGAAATAATGCACCTTCGGCATTTCTAAAATTACGTTAACATAATTGAAATTTATTAATACTTATATAGTTTCAGTCGTACAGTGTAATGTACTACACATTTCCACAAATATGTTTATTACTAATAACTTTTTTACCTTGTCACAAGTCTATTGCATATATTCTTTTGGTCTCCTTTCTTACGCATGCTTGCAAATCCTGTCTTAGTGCTCATGATTATGGTGTTCCTTTCTTAAGATGAATACACCATTCTCTTCAATTTTTCCTGATGCTTGATATTTTGGTCCTGTGCTTCTGAGATATCTTTTTTCAATAACTCAAATATACATATATTTATTAACCTTTAATCTTATAAATTGAATAATGTTATAAAATACGACGTTTGTGCACTAAACCTGCAAAATGCCTTTTTTGTGAGCTACTATAAAATATTGAATCAATTTTACCTCGTTCCGTTACACCTTCTGTTAAGTTTGTTAAGGGGTTATGTTCCTGTTCTGCATTACCCTATGAATTTACTACCCGCAATTAACTGAATTCCTGTTTAAGAAAAGTAATAAAATGTTAACTTAGTAAGGTAAATCATTTTAAATAAGTTTCAAACTTGATAGCCCTATATAAATCGCTGGTTCTAACCTAAATATTCTGTCACTCGATCACGTGTATGTCACGTCTCAGCTGTTGGCGGATCGGCTGTTACAAACCACCCCGGACAGAACTCGAACGCCGTTCCATATGAACATTCGATCATTTGCCACCATCTCCAGAGTTTCAGTTCCTTGCATGAGTTGGTATGGTCTGTTCATAGATATAAGAAAGTTGGCAATTGCTTTTGAATGGGATTATTCAAGGGTGGTCATTAACATACAATGCAACAAGATTGTTATCTAAATTTTGGAAATTTAAATTCAGGTAAAATTCTGGTCCGTAATAGAAAATAATTTTATACTTACCTGTGTTTAACATCATTTGGTTTGGTATACTACTTAGTTTAAGTTTATTAGTAATCATTCTTATTTCGTGTGTAATACAGCGTGTGTTGAATCGTGTGCGAATTATGCAAAATATGTGTGTAGTGTATCTCAGGAGATGCTCCCGCCCAAATGTAGAAAACACTATTCCATTGAGATTAAGGAAGTTATAAACAATGTTTATTTGACTCTCGTTGAACGTGGTGCCAGCAAGCAAGCATCTTTAGAAGAAACGGCCACATTGACGAAAATTCCAACATCACTGTATGGAAAATTATGTATAATCCCATTTCAGCGAGGAAAAAAAAAAGCGATGCTGACATTTTCTCGAGTGTAGATGAAAGTGATCAAGATATAATACGGCGTAAAATTTCCCAGTTATACGAGGAACAAAGCGTGCCTACATCAGATATCTTAATTAGGAGGCTTGAAAAAGATGAAACCGGTGTTAAATGTGGCAGTACTTCCTTATGGAAGTGTATTCATATTCAACACATGGGTTTTAGATTTAAATAAGTTGACAAAAGGCAAATGTTAATGGAATCTTTTAAAATTCGGAAATGGCTCCTGGAATATCTAGAAAAAAATAGGATTTACAGAGAACAACAAAGGTCAATTATTTACCGGGATGAAACCTGGTTCGACACTAATGATACCCCGAAAAAGGGTTGGGTTGACTCAACTGAAAAGTGTAAAACAAACGCAAAATCAAAAAGAGGTAAAAGAATAACTATTTGGCATGTTGGCTCTAAAGATGGTTGGATTCCAAATGGACTTTCTCCGCCTGCGAAAAATATTAACGATTCTTCTCTGGATTACCATGAAGACACCACCGCTGATGTATTTGAAAGTTGGTTTAAAAACAAACTAGTTTCAAACATTTCTCCTAATAGCATAATTGTAATGGACAATGCAAGCTCTCACAGTAGACAGTTGACTAAAACCCCTTCCTCATGTGACACAAAAGCAACAATCCAAAACTACATGTATAATAACCACATTAATTTTCACGAAGATTATATCAAAAAGCAATTAATT